ATCTATCTATCTATCTATCTATCTATCTATCTATCTATCTATCTATCCATTTCTCTCTCATCTGTTTCTATCATCCATCTATCTTTCACCTGTCTGTCTACATGTCTGCCTATCTGTCTGTCTGTCTATCACGTTTCCCCTAAAACACGACCTACCCCGAAAGAAGGCTCAGCATTATTTTGTGTGCATGTGTTAAAATGAAGCCTTGCCCACAAAATTTGGCCCTATTTAAGCATATGCGTGGCTGGTCCCCACCATTTTCTCATATCGCTTGCAGTGTGGACAACATGAGGTGAGGAGGCGGGGGGGGGAACTTGCCCCATTCACCCCACGTACCTCAACTGGCCACCAAGCCGCTTCTTTCGCGGCTGAAAGGAGCAATCCACGTGCCTCGTGCATCCTTGCCTACCTGTAATGATTATGCCAGCTACCGATAGCTGTCTAGCCGGAAAAGCCTGCCGTCGTCCACTCCGGCAAGCCTGGCCACCGGGCTGCTTCTTTTGCGGACAAAGAGTGTGTGGGCGAACGACGCACCCCACGGCGCCTGAAGTATGTAACAGGTTTTTTGAGTGTTTATGTTTGTCCCGACCCAGGTGGCCCAGCGCAGTAAGGAAGATATTTTGTCCTATTGGTAAGGTCCCTATTGCAGATGGTTATAGCCCCGGGTCGAGTGATCCCCTTTTCCAACAGGCAAAGTCAATGGGGAAATCCAAATTGATTGTAAACAACCCTTTCCCAGCCACCACCCAGGTGGCTTAATGGACTGGGGTAATAGATCTTAAGTCTTAAGACCTTAATGATAAACAACCCTTTTGTAATTAGCAACCGCCTGCCAAATCCCACCCACCATCCCTACCCACAGAGACCCAACTTTTTCTCTTTGCAGAAACCTGTCAGATTCTTGCCCTGAGAATCTTCCACGATTCCTTTCTTGAATTCCACTGAATTCTTTCCTTTTACATTCATCTTCTCCGTAGGCCAAAATAAAAGTCACTTTAGATCATTAAGTCCATTAATCCATTAACCCAAATTCATTAAGCCACCTGGGGGGTGGGGGTGGGAGTTGGCATGCAGTTGTTAATTACAAATGGGTTGTTTATCATTAAGGTCTTAAGACTTAAGATCCTTAAGTCCATCAGTCCATTATCCCAGTCCATTAAGCCACCTGGGTGGTGGCTGGGAAAGGGTTGTTTACAATCAATTTGGATTTCCCCATTGACTTTGCCTGTTGGAAAAGGGGATCACTCAACCCAGGGCTATAACCATCTGCAATAGGGACCTTACCAATAGGGCAAAATATCTTCCTTGCTGCGCTGGGCCACCTGGGTCGGGACAAACATAAACACTCAGAAAAACTGTTACATACTTCAGGCGCCGTGGGGTGCGTCGTTCGCCACACACTCTTTGTCCGCAAAAGACGCAGCCCAGTGGCCAGGCTTGCCGGAGTGGATGACGGCAGGCTTTTTCGGCTGGATGGCTACCGGTAGCTGGCATGACCATAACAAGTAGGCAAGGGTGCGCGAGGCGCGTGGGTCGCGTCGCTTGCTCTTTTGGGCCACGAAGGAAGTGGCTCAGTGGCTAGGCGAGGCGTGTGTGGGGGGGAAAAAAAGACACAGCCTAGCTTTTTTTTTCAGTGGTCAAAAGAAAATAAGACCGGGTCTTATTTTCTAAGAAGCACAGTATCTATCTATCATTTATTTATTCATCTATCCCCCGCTCTCTTTGTCATCTTTCTCTTTATCTATCTATCATCCATATACCTTTCATCTGTCTATCTACCATCTGTCATTGTCTGTCAGTCTGTATCATATATCTTTCTCTTCTGTCTCTCTGTCTGTCTGTCTATCTATCTGTCTATCTATCTGTCTATCTATCTATCATCTATCTATCTATCTATCTATCTATCTATCTATCTATCTATCTATCTATCTATCTATCTCATCCGTCTGTCTGTCTGTCTGTCTGTCTATCTATCTATCTATCTATCTATCTATCTATCTATCTATCTATCTATCCTTTCAGTATTACTGATAACTTGCCCCAATCCCACCAGATGCTAGGTAAGATGCGGGATGGGATCCGACTGGTATAACTACCAGTTCTGTCTATTAGCGTCACGTGTGCGTGCACGAGTCCCGCGAGTGCAATTTACGACCTGCTGAGCTGCCCAGACAGCTAAGCAGCGCTGCGTGCAACTGCGCAGCAGTTCGAAAAGCCCTTTTTTCCTGCTTTTTCAACTGCAGCTGCTTTGCGCGACACAGCTGCAGTTGAAAAAGCAGGAAATAAAGGACAGGTAAGAGCCGGGCGGAGTGGGTGGGTGACAACAGCAGCAGACATAGAACCGGTTCTATGTCTGCTGCTCTTCAGAGCTATCAGTTCTATAGAGGTGGACAGAACTGGTAGAAACCCACCCCTGGGTAAGATACAATAGTCTAAACAAAGATATCATTGCCAGTGTGTGAATAAAAGAAATAAAAAGTGGAGAAAAGAGCAATATCCAAGGGAATCACTCCTTAACCAAATGATAACTGTCTGCTGGAACAATATTGCTTTAACCTGCCTCTGAAACACCTATTAGAGTAAGAAGTTGGTTTTTTTTCTTCCAAAAAACACCATAATATGAATTATCCGATCTCTGTAGTTCTGCTGGGCAGATTTGGCCTATCAAGGAATAGCATTAACAACCATTTCAGCCTGCCCACCTTTGACTATGAGCCTGGCTGCAGAATATGCAGACCCGGCAGAGTTGGTGATGAAGACAGAATACTGGCCATCGTCCTCTTTGGTGACCTGGAGAACTTCCAGAGCGTGAAACTCGTGGCTGTCTGTCCTTTGGAGACGATCACTTGTGTGTAACGGCTGACCATCTTTGAACCAGTAGAGACGGGGCTCAGGGAAACCTGAGTGGACGTATAATAAACACACAGAGAGATGTATGAGTTATAAGACTAATCAAGGGATCCACCACGGTTCCACTTAACACCTCATTCAGCTACTTGGCTTAGCCACAGTCTGCCCCTAATTCCCTTCTGTCATTCAATGCTGAGAATCAGAGATTTCTTGCAAATTATTATAGGTGGAATTTGGTTATTACACCTGAGAATATAAAGAGCCGAACTGAAGCCATTTTGTGTCTGCAGTCTGAACTTTTAAAAGTTATGAAATGTGTTTTTGCTAGACAATTATACTAGATTGCAAAACTATGTGCTTTGCTTAAATTAGAGATATGTTCCAGAGCGCTTTGACATTATATAGTCACATTAAGAGAAATTAATGACCCTATTATAATCTTCTGGTATTTGAATAACTGGAAATCTGGAGATAAATCTGAATAAAGAATGTTGATAATCTTCCAATGTCAAGTGGGGGAATTTTTGTGGAAAGACCCACAAGGTTCCCTATGGGATTCTATGTACAGTATTTTTGATTTGGAAAACAAGATGTATTATGTAACTGTTTATATAACTATATTTGGATATAAATATGTGGTCTTTATTGGAAGAGGCGTCTCCTTTTCCTCATTCTATGACCAGTCTGTGTGAAAGGTTGATTGATACTGCTCATCCAACAATCTTAGTAGCTTCAACATTGAATGTATGTCTTTCTTCGTTGCAATGTGAGGCCTTTGGTCTTTTCATCTGATCGCTCACTTCTATTCTTGCAATCTGGTGGTTAGCTTTCTCCCTGCCTGCCCTACATAGTCACAGAGGCAATCCCTGCAGGGGAGATTTCTTGAGTCAGAATTTGCCAGTCACTGGTGAAGACTTTCCTGCCTAATGCAGGACTAGAACTCATGGTCCCCTATTTCTAGCCTGGTGCCTTCACCACTATACCAAAGCGATTCTCCTACTGCATTGCAAGTTCCACCCCTTTTATTCATGCATTCATAATGTCGGTTGCATACAAAAGGGGTGGAACTTGCATCGCAATAATGTATATTCTGAGTAATGAAATTCTTTTTTTAAAAAAAATCTGCTTAATGCCGCAATGCCCCAGAATCCTCCTGAGCACATAGTGGCTGGAATTGAACCCACAAATCAAGGTGATGGTGAGTCAAAACCAAAATCAAGCGAAACAATTTTCAACCCACAATGTCAGGCTCATCCGCTGCCTGAACAACTCTGAAAACAAAGACCAGCACGCAAGAAGTGATTGTGTGAATGGGATCTACCCCAGACTCTGAAGGTGTGTGTGGGGGGGGGGGGGGGGGGAGAGAGAATTGAAATATCTGTTACCTTTCACTTTTAAATGGAATTTGGCAACAGGGGCTCCAGGCGCCACGTGAATATCGTGAAGCTCATCGATGATTTGAGGCAACTGTTCCTCTTCCGTGGTTGACTCCACTCCTTCTTGTTCCCGGCTGGTTCAAGAGATGGTGGGAAAGAGAGGGAGGGCAACACAAATGATTGACATGCAAAGCCCACTCCCAAATATAATTAGAACTTGGAGTAATAGGTTTAGAAGGGACCTTGGAGGTCTTCTCATCTAATCCCTCGCTCAAACAGGAGGCGTGCAGGAAAGGGATGTGTGCTCCCTCTTCTGACTCGGAAGTCCCAGAATAATATTTGATAATAGATTTTCACCCAGAGTCGTCGTGATATGAGGTGGGCGGCAAATGCATTTAATAAATAAATAATATTGCTTTTACCTGGACAGATAACCTTTAGCGCTGTAGTACGACGAGGTCTCCGTTGCATCTCCGGCCGTGTCATAATCTGTGCTGGTTACTAATGAATGGTAAAAAGAAGATTTCAGGGGCAACGTTTGAGAAACATTGCATTAGAGCGATACCTCTCAAAAACAGCATAAGAGAAAGTGGACAATTGTGCAAGAATCAAGGAAGTTCTGATCAGTGAGTTTTACGGGAGGGAGGGGGGAAAAGAGAAAGAAAGAAAGAGAGAGAGAGAGAGAGAG